CGTTACTGGTGCTCACTCGAGCAAATCAATGAACAATGGGAGGACAGTGCAGACAGTGTTTTTGCTTTGGGACCACACCTGGTACTGCTTCAGGCTTACTTGTGGCTCTGTGCTCAGGGATCACCCTGACAAGGCTGGGAGCACCGTACTGGGTGCCACTGATCAAACATAGTCCATCCAGTCCATCCGTGTGCAAGGCAAACACCCAACCTGCTGTATTGTCACTCCAGCCCCCATAAAAATACTTTCATATTTTCCTTTAGCTCTATGGTAAGTCCTCAATGTCAGAAGGTTCTTAGAAACTGTGACTTTAAGTGAGTTGATACAGAATGAAAACATGTCCTCAATAATCTTTGACACAGGGTAACATTGTCTTTTCCTCGTTCATATTATAGTCAAAGAATGTCAAATAGCTTTATACAGAGACCTGCTGTTTTCTGCAACAAGTATAGTAATAGTGGGATGGTTTGATCTTTAAAGGTAGAAATCACTTGGAAAACTACCAGGGCCTCATGCCATTCACCTCTATTTTTTAAAATTTTTTTAAATTAATCAAAATTTTAGAAGTGTGAAGGCATCAAAAACTGCACCGGTATACATTTCGATGTATCTTCTCAAGTGAAATGTGTCTATTAATTGTCATCTAAGTCAAGAAACAGATGTCTGCCACACCCCAGCACTCTCTTTCCCTCCTACAATCTCAAGCCTTCTTGTCACAGCATTCTCTAGTTCTAGACTGTATTTTTCTATGGCAACCGGTTTGCTGAAGATTTTTTACTTTTAGTTTTCATCTCTACTGGGCTGTACTTCAATAATCCAGGTTTATTCATTTTTTGTGGTATGGTTTTTCCAATTACCCACTTTATTTAGGCTTTCAAACCTATTTAAGCATGCAAACTGGTATTATGATGTGAAAGGACATTCTTTTTAATCCGTGAATCCTTAAACACTATAGACGCTGAATATGTCTCTCGAGATGTTCAGTCAAGAGTTATGCAACAGGGACTTGTAACCTCTCGTGTGTGTGTGTGTGTGTGTGTCCATGATATGTAATTGGACAGTTCCTGTCTTGTGGCCTGAACAATGATCTCACCTTATAGTGTCTGTTTCTTGGTGCCCCCGTGTGCCTATGAGGGGGCTGGAATTCACTTCATCCCTAAAAGGAGAGAGTCTGTCGGCCTGTTCTCCTCTCCCCTGGGCCAAGACATGATTCCACCCTGCGACCATGAGAGACACACCAAGAGGTCCACCAGACAGGGGTCCTACTTTCCACGAGCCACCCACATGCTGCCAGGACAACCTACCTCCATGTGGTAAGTGAAACTGAAGTTTCGTCTGAACCTCTTCAGGACTCTGCTTTTGTGACTGAACAGTAATTCTTTTGCTGTTGTTGAGGGCCACACCCAACAGTGCTGGGGGTTCAGACTTAGCACCCAAAGGTGGTAGAGCATCAAGCAGCGTCTTGCTCCTGCAAGGTATGTTCTCTGCTACTTGAACTGCATCCTCGGTTCTGAGTACATTCCTCACTGATACAGACCATAAATGTCCCCAAATAAAAAACTATATCATTTTCTGCCAGACAGGAAGTCCAAGCAAGGCTCTGGGGAATTTCTTCTTGGGGCCACAGGTCACGGCCTCCTGACAGAGGGCATTCTGATAGAACATCAGACCTTCCCCTCTGTTATGACACCCCAAAGACCAGGGTGGTGTCGTCGTGAAGCCACAAGCTTTGGCTTTCTGAATTTGAACCCCATTTTTCCCTGCCACGTTGCTTGGAACAAGTGACTTTGGCCTCTCCAGGGCTGCATTTACTTATTGGTAAAATACTGGAAAACGCAGGCTACCATCTTGAAAGAGATTATTTATAGAAGATTATTCCAGAATTACCCTGGGGAGAAAGGGTTGCTATCGTGGGAGTAATTATATTATTCAGAGGCATTTCCAGAGAGGCACCAGGCCACCATATTGGAAGAGATTATTTTATTAGGAGAAAGTTCCAGAAGTACTATATGGGTCAAGTGGAATGCCATTGATCATCAGACAAGATCTCAGAATCTCTGTAGATGGGAGGGGCATCGAGGCAGCCATTTTGGCAGAGATTCCTTAGAGATGTTTCCAGAATTACTGTATGGGAGGGAGGGACATAGAATTGGCCGTTTGGAAGGCAGTCTGCACAGAAGACTTCCAATATTACTCTACTGGTGGGCGGAAACACTGGCAGTCATGCGGGAAGAGATTGAGATACCAGATGAATGATGCAGGTGAGAGGGGCATCAGGTGGCCTGTTTAGGGTTCCATTATTACTGCTGAATAATAGGATACAAACATCCCTTCGTAGAGGTTCCAGAATTACTATTTAGGAGGAAGGGGCATATAGGCAGCCGTCTTGGTAAAGATTTTTCAGAGATGGTTCCAGAATTACTACCCGTGAGAGAGGGGTAATACAGAATATCATCTTGGGAGAAATTATTCAGAGGAGTTTATTAGAATTCTTATGTAGGTGGCCATCCTAGAAGAGATTATTCAGGGGTGGTCCTAGAGTCATGCAGGTGCCATCTCGGCAGAGGTTATTCAGCCTCCTTTGGAGAGATTACTCAGGGAAGGTTCTAGAAGGACATCAGGTGACCATCTTGGAAGAACTTTTTCAGGGGTGATTCCCTTATTACTGTGATGGATAAACAAGAATACAGGTGGCCATCTTGGAAGAAGTGATTTAGAGATGGTTCCACTCTCATCATGTTGAAGAATGTAGAAATTGTTTTTGAACATGAATATGCAGAAGATTCCAGAACGACTATGTGGGAAGAAGAGGCCTGCAGAAGCTCTTTAGGGAGAGGGAGTTGTGGAATTGTTAGGCTGGAGGGATGGCACACGGCAGCCATTCTGGAAAGATTCCATAATTACTCTATTGGATGGGAAGGGTTTGCTGGCAGCCATTTTAGAATTCTGTCTAGAAAATTCTAGAAATAGAACTATATCAGAGGGAAGGACCTACAGGCAGCCATTTTGGGAGAATTATTTAGAGAAAGTTCTGGAATTACTATGTTGGAGAGATGGGCATAGAGAAAGCCATTTTGGAAGAGAATTTCCAGAGAAGAGTCCAGAATTACTCTGTGAGAGGAAGTGGCCTGCCGTCAGCCATTTGGGAAGGATCAGAGAAAGTTCCCAAAATACCATGTTGGAGCTTGGGGACCGACCTAGAAGCAGCCATTTTGGAAGGGTACTTTAGAGAAAGTTCTGGAATTTCTGCATTGGAGGGAAGAGCATCAGGTGGCCGTTTTGCAAGGATCAGAGAAAGATCCATTATTGCCACGTAGAAAGGAGGGGCTTACAAGTGTCACCTGGATCCGATTATTATGAGGCTCCAAAGGGGCAGAGAAGTTGCCACCACGGAGGAGACTACTCAGAGAAGGTCCCCGGGTTTTGTATAGCGGGGACCTAATATATTATGCATATATTATATATTATGCTTACTGTTTATTACGCTCGTGGGGTTTCTTCCATAAATATGTACACCAAGGTCATTGCTTTCGTTGTATTATGTCTGGGGGGCCACCCCCAGCGGGTGCTCAGGACTTCCTCCCGGCTCTGTGCTCAGGGATCACTCCTGGTGAGCCTCGGGGGATCGTGAGGGGTGCCAGGGACTGAACCTGGGCCAGGTGTGCCAGACAAGTGCTCTGCTCACTGTACTTCTATCTCTCAGGCCGCGGTCATCGTTGGAAACGTGCACTGTTACAAACGTTTTTGAGATCGCTAATGGAGAACGGGCGTCCCCGTCTCCCCTGCCCTCCCGGAACCTGGTTTTATTCACGTCTAGTGACCTCTGCCAGGTGGGGGGTTCACTTGAATGGGATTTCACTGGGAAGTAGAACAGGAAGTGGATTTTAGAGGTTCCGCGTTACCGAACCAACTTGATTTGTGACATTGGGTCCGTCTGAGCGGACACCGTGGTTGATGGGGGTACACACTGGGCTGACCACGCACCGAAGGGGTTGGTCGGCTTCGGGTGAAGTTATTCCAGAACCCGAGTGGACACCAGGTTCAGGATCAACCCAGCCCAGGCTTGTGGGGTCGGTGCCCATGAATGCTGATGGCCACTCTTTCCCCAGCGGAAGTCTGTTCTAGTCACACGTAGGTGGGGTTCTACAATGTTCTACTCATTTCCATTTTAAACTAATTTCATTACCAAGGACTCTGCCTTTTCTGTGTGGTATTCTGACTTCTTGTAAGCCCCCCCACCCACTCTCTGAGAAGCCCACCAGGGATTCTTCACCCAGTCTCCACCCCCATACACATGGTTTTGTGACAGTTTTTCTGTGGCTCCCACACCCTTCACGTCATTTGGGTCTTAGTGCATGCTTTGAAAGCATCCCTTAAAGAATTCAAACCCACGTGCCGGGTCTCCATCAGCTCTTCATCTAGGTATATGGAACAAGGTAGGGATTGAAACTCTACTTTTCTAAACTGACTCACCCACTCCAAACGATTACTTTTCCCCTCGATGGGTTGGATTATTTCCTCCAATCCACTTTATAAGGCACTGAGTGTCTGGGATAATTGGGTAGACGTAGATACTATCATTTCTTGTGATGTCACTTCCCCTTAACTGATCCGAAGCTCTAAATTCCTCCCACACGATTACATTTCTGTATCTTCATGCTGGGCCCAGGAACCTAACTGTTCTGGGCCAGTGGGCATGAGGGCATGTGAGGCTCTGCACAGGAATAAGGGATGGGACTTGGTGAGACAACGGTGAGCTCAAGCGTGGAATTCTCTAAGGGGACCTTGACCACACAGGTTCGTTCAGGAGGACGGGGTGGAACCCTCTGGGCTGCCTCACGTTTTCCAGAAACCCGGACCACACATGGTGAACTTTTGCACCCATTTAGACCCTGGGAACTGTCCCCCAACCACTGTCTAACACTGCCCATCTCCCACCCACCTTAAAGGTCGCGTGAACCGGGAGCGACGGAAACGCAAATGACTCTCCAGGTCCGTCCTCTTTGCTCACATTTAATTTTTATTTGATTTTTTAATGCTTCACAAGACAATATTCATTTCATTTGTTTCATTTATTTCATTTGCTTCATTTCTTTTATTTCTTTTATTTCTGTTTGCTGCTTTTATTTAAATTCTTACTCAAAGAGAAAGGGAACGTTTGTGGCCTTTTTTCATTTTCTTTTTCTTTTTCTGTAGGCCGCCTTAAGCTTACTAAATTTGGAATATTCAAGCAAGCGAGAGGGAAGAAGGGGGTTTTCGCAAAATCACTTCGGGGGGAAGGAAAGGTTGGCGTTGTTAGCCATGCCCTATGGTGGGTGGCTAACTGCGTGTACGTTTCACTCTTAATTGTGCTTAAGGCTTCTTTAAATTTGGGGGTTCCCTTCTTACAGCAGCTCGTACTGGCGGAGGTGCATGCGCTGGATGATGTCGCGGCAGTCGTTGAACACGCGGCGGATGTTCTCGGTGTCCACAGCGCAGGTGAAGTGAGGATAGCAGTAGTGGCGGCCATCTCCACTAGCAGTGCTGATTCTCTGTGGCACAGACACGGGGCCACGTCAGACCCCGGGGACAAGGGGCACACGCCCAGGGGACACAGAGGGACTCCCCCAGGCAGCCCCACGCCTAAGCGGTTCGGGGATTCAGTCCCAGGCCCCGGGAAAGGCGGGGGGAGGCCAGGCTCTACTCACCAGGAATTCGTCGCGGATGAAGTACTTGGCCCGGGTCACGCGTGGATCCTCGCCGGGCTCAGGAGTAGCTGCAAAGGGTGCAGAGACCGTGTTACTCGTGGGAACCGACTGGCCCGCGCTGGGCCTGGACCCCCTGGGCCCCGGGCTCTGAGCCCCAGACTCACCATCCTCAGGAGTAGTGTAGCGAGCGAACTCTGGAAAGTAGTCCTCGATCTTCGACTTTCCAGCGAGGACCTTCTCAGCAAGCAGGTCTTGCTTGTTGAGGAAGAGAATCACGGAGATGGTGCGCAGCCATCTGCGGGGGGCCGGGAGTCAGCAGAGGCCGGGCCACCTGCCCGCCCGCCCATCCGCCCCCCAGCGCCCACCGTGAGGCTCCAGGGACCTCCCCCCCCAAACCTGTTGTTCCAGATGCTCTTGAAGAGGTTCAGTGCCTCCTGCAGCCGGTTGGTCTGGTTGTCCTCCCGGATGACCATGTTGTAGCTGCTGCTGGCCACCACGAAGATGATGGCAGTCACATCTTCAGGACAGAGAGCACGAGACCGTCAGAGGGTGGAGGTGCGCTCAGAGCCCAGGGCTGGTCCACATCGAGGCCCCGCCCGGCGCCCAGGCCCTGCCCAGCCCGGTCCCCCGGGACCTACCATTGAAGCACTGGATCCACTTGCGGCGCTCATCGCGCTGGCCGCCCACATCGAACATGCTGCGGGCAGAGAGACAGTGTCCATCACTACCCGCCCCGCTCCCGGGGCCCCAGGCCGGCGCGAGCGAAGCTTTTCCCGGGGACGAGCCTCTACTTACTGGAAGTTCACTTTGTCCACCTGGAACTTGGTCTCGAAGATTCCAGAAGTCAGGACGCGGCAGCGCAGCAGGTCCTGTGGTAGAGTGCGGCTCAGCAGGGGGCTCCCTGCGCCCACCCTCAGGCTCCCACGGGCCCCCCCACAGCGGCCACCCGGGCTCACCTGGTCGCTGGGCACGTAGTCGGCCTGCTTGATCACATCGATCTTGTCCAGGAAGCTGGGAGGAAGCAGAGGCACACAGTGGTCAGCGACCAAAGGGAGGGGGAGAAGGGGGTCTGCAAGGCCCTGGGTGGGGGGACTGCTGCTCTGTGTGCCTTCTAGCAAGACGTTTCAGAATTGGCCAAAAGCGTTCCAGGAGCCGAACTACTGAGCTGCTTCCGTTTTCTCATGTGAAAGCAGCAAAGCCCTCCCCACAACTGGTCCCAAAGACCCCCAACCTGCTCCCGAAGACGGTGGGCTGGGATCCCTGGCTGCCTTTAAGAATCTCCCTGACCCAGGGAACAGAACAAAGGAGGTGGCCACAGCAAGGCCCCTTGTGCGCTGGCCATACCGAGCAGGAAGCAAACACAAAGTTCCCTTCCGTTCTATTTATTCCATGAAAGAAGAGCACTCCACCAGCAAAAATCTTAAGTTAAAAAAGAAAAAAATGAAACCCTGTGGCACTCTGAGGCTCAGGGCCCCCGTGGGTGGCGGGGCTGGGGTCTCGGGACCCTGGAGAGTCTCCGCTCCCCGAGCTGGATGGGCACGGCAGGGAAAGGCCCTTTCTGGGAAAGCGTGGGCTCATTCCACATGGGAAATCCACTAAACGCCAGTTTCTCCTGGGGAGGGCGGGGTGGGGCGGGTTGAGATTTTTACATTTTTAGGGGGATGGCTCTTGGCAGAGAACCAACAAAGGAAGGAAAGTCTATTTAAAGAGATTCTGTAAGTCCCCCCGCCCCCACCCCTTCCTTTTCACCAGCTTAGAGTTAGTCTGGCTTGGAGGCCACAGAAACTTGCCCAATCAGGCTTACATTACAGAGCCAGGCCAGAAATAGCTCCCCCGCCGCCTGGCCGCCAGCACGTTACCATGGCAACAGAACCGCAGCTCTATAAATAGATCCTCAGCACCAAATCTTGTGAGCGAGACATCTGGAGTAGGGCCAGCCAAACCCCAGCTCAACAAATAAAATTGGAGCTTAAGAAACGGGCAAGGTACCAGTCTCCGCACGGAAGGCTCAGGACGCGCCCCGGCGGCCACTCCCCATCACGGCAGGGAAGACATTTTAAAAGTTCTGAGTTTGGTGCTTCTCCTTTTTCTTAACCCCCCACGTGTCCGGAGACTTTCCAGAACTCTGCAAAGGTGGCCACGTCCAGAGAGCTGCAGGAGGAGCTTCAGGTGGCTCCAACAGCGTCTTCCTGGAGGGCTGGAAGGCGGAGAACCCGGCCGGGCTTCAGTGTCTCCTCATCTACCTGCGCTTCTGACTCGAATCCAAAACACCGAACGCAAACAATTCCAGGATTTCCATTTGTTTTGCGTGACTATAATTAGCACTTCCAGCTTTTAGTTCGAACTTTGGAGAAAATTAGGAGCTTGCTGGGGCAGGGCTGGGGGCTGGGCGGCGAGGCTGTTTTCCTGTCCTTGAGACAGTCGCCGCCTCTGCTCGGCCCGGCCGTGAAGCCACGAAGTGGCCACGGGGGCGACCCCTGCAAATGGCCGAAAGGCTCCGGGGGTGGCCGGGATTTGGGGTCCACTCTCCAGCCAGGGAGCTGGCTGAAATAGCCACACAGTGCCCCCAGCGTGGGGGTCCCCTGGACTTCACCTCCCAGAGACACGGCAAATACTCGCTCCCAAGGGCCCAGGAGGCAAACTCTATCTCCAGTGCTCCTCCGACTGCCGGCAAAGGCGAGATTATTCTTACTAAGTGTGCGAAGTGCCCTGTCTGCCTAGAAGTGCTTGGAGGTCGATGCAATTAGTTATTCAAGCTCATTAATTACAAGCAGTGCTTCGCAGCAAGTAATTATTGCTTTTCTCCAACAGGTACTAACTGTTCCTCGGAAACCCTGCCACTGCGCTAAAATGTGCACCTTCGGGCGTCCTCCCACCGATGGGACACGCTAGACCTTTGGCGTGGCCCCACCCTGCAGGCGTAGGGGGCAGCTGCACACTGCAGGCTGGAAGGAGCACTTACTACTGAGCACAGTCGATCAGCTGGTACTCATTGGAGCGCTCGTAGCAGGCGCGCACGCCCTCGTCCTCCCACAGAGCCTTGGCGTGCTCGTAGAATTCCTGGAAGCGAACAGAAGGAGGGACAGTGAGGCAGGAGGGCGTGGCGGTGGACTGTCCTGAGGACACCCAGCGCCTCGGTGGCCTGGGGGCCGGCCGAGACCCCCTCTCTGTAGCCCAGTCAAGTTGTGCTCAGGTGCTGGGTGCCTGGGGCATCCCCCGGGGGATGAACCCTGCCACTGGCTCACTGGGAGGGAGGGTCGAGGGGAATCCCCCCCCCCCCCACAGGACAAGTGATGCTCCAGGGATGCTCGCAGAGACCAGCTCATCTGCTCATGGGCTCTGCCAGTCAGTGATTCAGTGTTGGGAAAACAAGAACTTTCATTTGTCAAATGTGCCGGGACTACATCTTCCAGGAAAATTTGAATTTGACAAAATAACATTATGATTCCCTCCCGGATGAATTTGGCAAGAGGAGAATTAAAGGTCGGTGCGAGCGTGAAGCTCAGGTCTCAGGGGGCAAATGCGCTTCTCCCTCAATGCCATTTGAACAGGATTGACTTTTTAATTTTTTCCCCTACTGGAAATGAGGATGAAACGGGCCGTGTTTCCTACCAGTTATCTTCACACTCCGGTCTAAACAAACTCCCTCTCCCCCTGAGCTCCTGAGGAAGGCTGCCGCCAAGCTCACACACACATTCCCACAAAGCCTGACAAAGGGCGACAGTAACTCATTGTTTGACCTGCACACAAACCCTTCCCTTCCCGGCCCGCCTCCCCCCAGGCCCGGGGGAGCCTGTGGCTGGGGGTGGGCTGAGTCCCCAGACACTTCTGGAGGCAGCACAGTGCCAGCCGGTGGAAGCACAATGCAGGTGAAAGTGTGTGTGTGTGTGCGCGCGCATGCATGTGTTTGTATGTGATGAGAAAGAGTCCACTTGCCCTAAAAGGGCAGGGAAACCTTATTCAAGGTTAAATGAGAAACTGCTTCAAGTCACAAGTCTCCCTTTGCAGAAGCCAGAGGCGGCCTGGCCTTCTCGCTGTCTCTGGACGCTTGCCACGGCCGAGCTGGACAATCAGCATTGTGTGCGACACTCCACGGCTTTGTGTTGGCCATGGTTGTGTCTGAGGGAACGGTGAAAGCTGCCGCCACTCAAGACCTTCTCCCCCATCAGAACTGTCTAGCAAAGTGGGCCTGCGGCTGCCTGGGGCCCCGGGGGCGAAGGGTGAGAGCAGAGCCCGCTCCCCGCCCCCCCATGGCTGGTTTGGGGGGGTGAAGGTGAATGTCACGAGGGTCCCCAGCCCCCCCAGGAGACGGCCCCTGTGCTGCTGGAGTGTTCCGGTGACGCAGGGTGGGGTGGGGGGTTGGGGTGGCTTACGGGAGGGAAGTCAAAGTCCGGCACGTTCATCACGCTCAGGATGTAGTCCACGCGGAACTGGTTCTCAGGGTTGGCCAGCTCCACAGGTGGCACCAGACTGCTCATGGCGGCCACGATGGTCTGCAAGGGGGGGGGGGGGCAGTGGTCAGGTCGGGGCCCAGGGGAGGGGCGGGGGGGGCGGGAGAGGGGCTGGGCACCTACTTCAATGGCCTCTTTCAGGTTGTTTTTGATGTCCTGCACTTTGGTGGCCTTCTCACTACAGTGGGATTGAAAAGAAAGACATCATATGGCACCTCGTCAAGGCAGCCCAGCTACAAGCATAGTACTCTGTCCTCGCAGGCGTGGTGGGGGCAGGTGGTGCGGACCCGAGGCCCTGGATCAAAGGCTTCAAATCCCAGGAGCCCAGATGTGTCCCGGGGACACGCCCGATGCAGGCCAATTAGCAAGCTGGCATTGAGGCGAGTTGGCGTGATTGAGGGGGCTACTGTACCAGGTGGCGGGCACTGCACGCCCAGACTCCCTGCAGCTCCCTCAAGACTCTCCCATGTTCGGGGGAGGGGCAGGCACTGATGTCACGGGGCAGGGCGCACAGGTGAGGGCACCCTGCGCATAGGTGGTTGCCCATCTCCACGGCAGACACAGGGCTCGGTGGCCATGACCGTGCTGTTGTTATCATTATTATTACGGTTCCTTTATGACAACAGTCGTCAGATCTGGCCCAGCAGGACAAGGGCTGTGAGCACCACAAAGCTGACCCCCATGTCCCTGGCTCCTGGGGGGGGACTAGCCCGTGGGGGGTAGGGGCTCTCAGTTTGCTGCTGAGTTTTAATTGGTGCCTGTGGGCCCCCAAGTCAGGAATATTGTTCGGAGCCAGGGGCTATGCAGTACGAGTGACTTGCTTTGGTGTCTGGGGACCCTCCGAGACTCACGTGTGACTCCAGCCAGCAAGGACTGTGTTCTGGGGACGCCCTGCTTAGGCGCAGACAGGTGGGATTCTGGGAGGTTTGCTGGGGGGACAAGGGGTACAAACCCCACCTGGCTGCCCGTGGGGACGGAATTCCCCTTCACTGCCACGTCGGGCCCCTGGCTCACCAGCACAGATTAGGGCCCCCTCAGATGTGGAAACTGAGGCAGCGTGGGAGAGCCTGCGCCTTGGGGTGCAGTGCAGGGTGGAGGGCGCAGATAGTCTGTGTTGCTAAAAACCACCTTGGAGGTTCCTTAAGGTTTTCACCGAGTCCCTGACATGCAGAGGCAGAGAGGGAGGGAGAGGCCCTCGGAGTCGGAGTCGGAGTCGGGGACAGAGTCAGTGTCAGAGTTCAGGAAATGGGGAGGTTCAGAGCAGTTAGTGGGGGGCAGTTAGGGGGGAGGGGACCGCAGAGGCTGGGTTCATGCACACGCCTGCCTGTGACCCTGACCCTGGCACCTCGACCTGGACCCCTGAAGATAATGGTTTCCTCAACTCTCACTCCCTTCACAGAGGGGCCAGCTCCTGGGGGCTGGGGGCGGTCTGAGCTCCTTGAGGTGGAAGGGCGGAATCCATCCAGGCCCCACTGCCCAAAGGGCCTGGGCAGAGCCACTAAGGAGGCCCGCAGAATCCAAGCTGCTTCTGAAATCCAAAACCACTTGGGGCCCTGGCGTGGGGGCGGGGCGTGTGTGAGGGTCCTTATTTAGACCCCAGGAGCACTGAGGAGTGTGAATCTGCTCCTGAATTCAGCTTCCCTAACACCCTGCAGGGCAGCCCACGCCCAGTCCTTACAAAACAAAACAAAACGTCCCAGGCTCCACTGTCATGGAGATGCGCAGAGGGCCTGGGGGGGATACCCCCCACCCAGCCCGCGCGCTTAGGCGGGAGCCGGGGCTTCCAGAGCCAGGTTCTTTCATTCAGTTTGATATTTCCGTCTAAGTGGTAGTATGGTAATTGGAAAACTTCCAGGCTCAGATAGGAATATTTTGAGAACTTGTTCAGCGTTCATCTACGTATGTGAATAGGTGTGGGAGTAGATCAAGCTTGAAACAGCTAAAATAGAAGTCTGAAATCTAATTCGGGCGTGTGATACTAAAACATGAAATCCTTCCATTGAAGCGATTACTATGTAGATGGAGATATTCTACTGGGGGCTGGCGGCCCATCGTCGTTTGTACTATCACTTAATGAGTTCAACGTTGATTGTGAAACTCAGGGAAAACTCCTCCGGTGTCTCAAAAGTACTTAAAGCCAAAACATAATTAATTGCTCGAATTCTGACAAAAACCTTCAGGCTGGAAGTGGTTCAGGGTGGGGTGGGCTCCCCCCTACCCCAGGCGGGTTAGTGGTGGCCCCACCCCCACCCCAGGCAAGTGGCGAGGCAGGGAGCGGGTGCGTGGAGTTAAAGTGCTTTTGTGGGGAAAGACAGACAAAAGAAGAAAGACAGACCAGGAGACAGACGCTGGATACAGGGGTTGCTGAAACATGCAGAGAATTTTTATTCGTCACATATTAGTTAATCCTTATTGTACTTGTAGATCAGAGTCAGACAGAGATGCAGGCGAGGAATTAGTAGGGTTCAGGGGTGAAGCACAGCGCCTAGACTCAGGTGGTTCTTAAGGGCTGGTCTTGTTTCTCAAATGCCAACTTTTGGTACAGTAGGACAGTCAATCACTCTCACATAGGTGCCTCTGGGGGGTCGCTCGGACTCATTGTTGCCAATTAGGGACATAACATAACATTGTTGCCAATTAGGGATATAACGTAACATTGTTGCCAATTAAGGATTTTTCTTACATTTTAAAAAATTTTTTGTAGGTTTCTTTTTTGGGTTTTTTTTTTTTTTCAGTTATCACCAGCAGTGAGGAGACAGGCCCATTCCCTCCCCCACAACAGAACAGTATTCTTATTAGAAGTTCCTAAGTCAGGAAATTCCAGCATGCAAAGTGGGAAGGACAGAGGCGGGAAGACGAGAGATTGGAGCCACCATCTAGGGGTAATAAGTTCTAAAAAAAACAGATGAACAAACATGTGTCAGTCACTTCGCCTGGAGCCCAGGACCCTTTGCCCCGCCCTCCCGGGTCACCGCAGAGCTTCCTCGGAGATGCCCTGGGCGCGGCCCTCGGCCCTTCGCTAAGGGTGCTGGCCCTTCGCTAAGGGTGCTGCGTTGGCGAGCAGAGCTAAAGGGGGTTTCACCTGCGGCGTGCGAGTCTGCGCGTGCGCACACGCGCGCAAGCCTGTCTCCATGGAGGCGTGCCTGTGCACACGCGTCTGTGTTGCACTTGTGTGCGTGCTTGGGTGGGGGTGAAGGGCCTGGAAAAAAATCTCTGACGGCCAATGGGGAGCCAAGGTACCCCCAGTCACTGCCTGTCCGCTACCATAAAACGCCCTAGATTAAAGCTCACGTGAGCACTTTCACAGACTAGAGGCTCTTCAGGATCATTTTTAACAATGACCACGGTGTCGCGGCTTTTAATTTTCCCCCACCCCAAACTTAAGGGTGGTACAGCACTGTCTGTTCATTAAAAAAAAAAAAAAAAAAAAAAAGACCTTTTTTCAATTGGGAAGTCTAAAAAAAAATTTAGAAGTCCAAATTTTTTTAAATCAGATGACCCCAGGATAGATGAAATTTAGCAAAGAGTTTTAAAAACGAGTAACCAAATTCAAAAGGAGAACAGAAAGCAGAGGAGAAAACAGGGGTTCTTGGAACCATCCGCTGCTCCCCTAATGCACAGAGCTGTAGCCCTTCCCCTGGTGGACTGAATCGAGCTTTAAGAATGGGGGTGGGGGGAAGTGTGTGAGTGTGAGTGTGAGTGTGTGTGTGTGTGTGTGTTTGAGAGAGAGAAAGAGAGGAAAGAGAGAGAGGAAAGAGAGAGAGAGACAGAGACAGAGACACTCCAGGAGTGGAGCTGTCTGCGGGTGAGACCCTTTGTGTCAGCTGCTAAGATGGCTGATGGCCCTTAAGTGATCTGTTTTCTTCCCGGGACGCTGCCCTCAGTCTCCCAGTCTGATCTTCATGTCTGTCTGCTTGTTCAACAGTTTCTCTGGTTTTGCATGTGCCTACCCATCGCTGTTGCTCCTTGCAGCCTGCGCGTCGTCTTCGCCGCCCCTTTTAAAGAGAGATGGAAAGCTCACCTAGTCTGCATTGCCAGCGACCCCACAGCCTCTCCACATGCCTACGCCACGGGCCGCCGTCCTCCCGCGGGGACTGCGGCGCCGTGGAGGGCAGGTCCCACGCCTCCGCCGCCGCGCGAGCACCGTCTCCGGAGACCGTGCCCGGGCTCGGGAGGGACCGATAATTATTTTCTTGTGCTTTCGCTAAATGTGCATGCACCGGGGGAGCTCAGGCGGTGACTCCTCTCGCTCCTTTGAGACTAGACACAGGCTCCTGCTTCCCGCCAATCTCCCATCTCCACACCGCCGCAGCCGACCCGCGACTCGGGCTCCTGGGATCCAGGTGCGGTTGTTAATGGCCCCCCTTCTTACTGTGCATAAAGCTACTCAGCAATGTTCTCATAAATCATCGCTTCCCCCAAATTATTCATTTCAAATTGTGTCTGGACCCGGAGGGGGCAAAGAACAAGTCCCACTACCCCTGCCCCCCCCAACCCCAGCTCCATAACCCAGGGGAGGGGACTCCCCCCAGGAGCCAGGAAGGGCGAGAGGGAGCTAAACCTTCCCCTGATTTGGTAATTGATTTGCGATTGATTAGCTAAGTGACCAACCTCTTAGCTGCTCCGGCCCTGCAGGTGAGGAAGGGTTATTAGTGCTGTATTAAGAAAATCGGAATCGTGACCTCAGATTGTTCTGAAGGTCAGGGGAATATGACTCTACAATTGTCACCAGCGCAGTTTTGGGGTGTTAATGCAAATTTTGCAGCGCACCCTAGCCCCAACAAAGCGGCCCTCTGCTGGGGGGAGGGTGGGAGGAAAAGGCCGGGCAGGCTCCGAGCCCCTCAGATCGGGCGGATGGACGACACCATTTTAGGGAATTCCTAGTTAAGAAGGAAACCACTTTTGTTGCAATACCGCAGCGAGGAAAAAGAAAAATAGGAGGCTCCGTTGGACGAGATAAAAATAAGGCTTCTACACTCACACGAAGAATTCCCCTGCATGCCACTTTCACAGGCTAAATTTAACACCCCGGGAGACGACTGAGACTACCTATGTCCCCTCTTCAAAGCACACCGGGAATGTGGCCACCTCTTCTAAAAAGCAGAGGAGACATTCTGGCTTAGAAATGCCTCGTCTGCAAAACAGGCAGGGGCTGGGTCGCTTACAGGGAGGAATCCTCTCTTGAAAAGTTGAGAAAATTAGGGAATCTACGGCGTATTTCAAGGACATTTTATCTTACATTGAACTCAGTGGCTCGGGCTACCAGCTGGGCGGCCCATTCGGCGCTGCCAGCCATGTCCAGTTTTAAATGGAGTGTTTATCTAGTAGGTACTGGCCAAATTATTATTATTATTTTGCTCCCTAGAAATTGCAGAGGGAAAAATATGGAAAAATGTTTTGTTTTCATTGCAACAGTCAGAAGTTCGTTTCATTGTCTTGGGGAGGGGCGTGTTTAATGAACAATGGTCATCTATGGCGGATCTTCATAGAGACGGGGGTCAGGAGCGAAGAGTTTCAGAACTGGTTTCTCCAAATGAAGGTGACTTATTTAATTAACGGCATACATAGATATGCATATTTGATAGCTCCACTGGAGAGATGAATAAAAATTGGTAAACTAGCCGTCCACCTCCCGAATTCAAGGTGAAGGCACAGGAGGGCATTCTAACCAACAAGGCCCATCTGTACGGTGATGTCGCCCTCTTCTTAATCCTCCACCCATGAATCAAGGAATTCTAGAATTTTCCATCAAGAGCTGCCTCTGCAGTATCCCCCTCTAATGGGGTGAGAGATCAGTGTTCTCCCTGATGCTTCGAAGGGGCCGGCGCCATGTTTTCATCAGTGTGTTTCTGGGGTGCATTAACTAAATTAAGCCGTGCAGCCAGGACGCCGTCCCCACCTCGGGAAGGGAAGGGAAGGCGGATGGAGGATCCATTTCTCAGGGGACCCAGATAACAGGAGGGACGGGGCTGCCGACCAGCCAGTAATGGCGGACTGGGTGTCTGCAATCTCGCCAGTGGGTCTATTTTGCTTTGTTTCATGGATTTGGTGATGGGAGAATTAGGGGCTGGGGGGAGAAAGCGAGCCCCCTGCGTGCACACGCATTCCTCATGGGAAGAATGACCCCCACACTCCCGCCTCGCGCGTCCTCCTTTCCTCTTTCTTCTCTGCGGTATGTCAAGATGCCTAGAAGGACTTTTCAAAGGCAAAACTGGCCCCTGGATGCACCAGGGGAACCGGCTCCCGGCCTTTGCATCGCGGGCACATTTCCTTTCTTTGGGGGCAAGACTAGGGATTTTTGGGGAAAAAAAAAAAGATCTGCCCCAAATGTTCATTCCAAAGGGGTGGGAATTTAGGACTCTGTTTGGGGGGAGCCCGGTGCTGAAACAAAGGTGTCGCCCATTGTTTGAAACACCCAGCGCTGGTGCGCTGCGCCAAAGGGGAGGGGGGTGTCTGCAGTGGTCAGCGCGGCTGACAAAGGGGCGGCCGGGCCCATCGGCCATGTCGCAGACACTGCGCCAAAACCTGCCGCAGACGCCCCGTGTGTGACTCTGGCGGCTGTGACTCGTTTCTGCACCAGGAGTGGAAGGAGGGGGTGGGAATCCCTCAAGAGCTCTTCCCAAGGGCTTTCTAATATGTAGGGTGGAGGATGAAGGGGAAACTGTCTCCCGGCGCTGCCTACTCTCCCTGCAGGTCAGCGGTGGCGTGCACTGCCCGGCTCACATTTGACACTTACTCTCCATTAAACCCATTAACATGCAGGATCCTCATCTGCTTCACAATGGTGCTTTTGCCAGATTCTCCGGCACCTAGAAAATGAAAGTAAGTCTCAGGTTATGAAGGAGGCATTTCACACACCGGGCAGGGGCCGGGCAGCTGTTTCTCTTCCACTGAAACAAATGCAGAACAACAGAACAGCAGCACACACAATAGACATTTTGGCGCAAGAGAAAATGGAATAAATGTCCATCAACCTGCAGTATTTCACCATCAGAGTAACAAACAAGAATTGAAGCTTTTGTTTGGCGTTTCCCCCTCCCACCCTTTTTTTTGGAGGGGGGAGGAGAGCGGTTTAAAATCCACAGGTGGGGATGCAAAGGGGGCAAGAAAGGAATGACGCAATTTTGTCATGGGGGGGCGGACGGGGGAGGGAATCGAGATTGAGACCGGATAACTGAATTCTTGAATGCCAGCGTCCCCTGGCAAAATGCGCATCAAAGTCCACAGCCACATAATTCATTGTTTGTCAGAGGTTTCATGGTTAAAATACCCAGGGTTGACACCAAGTCCCGGCCCACACCACCGCACTGCCCGATCAGGGCAGTTTTCCCTCCCCTGGGGCTACTGAAAACGCAAAGCCCAGAACCGCAAGTTACAATGTAGCCATCGCCCCAACACTGTATCTCTGCAAGACACATTCTCTCTGCAGCAGGCACGGGAGAACTCGATTCTCTTCTTTACACACGCCTATTTGAAATCTCAAACAGTCCTTAGAACACCTCTTAACATGCAACAACTACTGTAAGAAGCATTAACAGGGCGAGACTTTCATCAGACGGAAATATATTCCTGGAAACCACGAAATTTTCGAAGATTACATGCCTCCCCCCTAACAAAACAAAACAAAAAATGATGGGCCACATGTGCCTCCATTTTAAAATCACCTTTTGCTTGTGAAAATATTTCACGAGAAAAGGACATTTCCACAGAGAGGAGGATTGCTAGTTGCTTTTCTTCCCCCCCCCCCCCACTGGATTCTTTGTTTTTTTCCTTCTGGGGTTGGGGGGGGATGTCTTCTCCCCACAATTAAACCTTTGAAGTTTTGCCCCCTCCCACACAAACCTACAAACCAGCTTGGTTTTTCTGTTTGTTTGTTTTTACCTGCCCCTCTCCCCCACCCCTTTTTTTTTTCCACCGTTAATGTCACTGTTTTTGCTCTACTGCCCAGAGAGCAAAGCATTCCTCCTTCCCTGGCCTCCTCAGGACGCCGTGATGGGGGGATCTGTAAAAGTGAAAATTAGTTCTCACAGAAACATTGATTTCAAAGCCAACACTATCTTAACGAGCCCCATTCATAAATGAAAATATCAGAGATTCCACGTAGAGAATATTTCAGATTTGTCAGAATCTCCACTGCTCTTATTTAGTAGAGCCAGAATATGTAACCCCTCGCTCTTAGAGGCCATCGCAGATCCGTGCCTCAGTTTCCTCATTTTGAACTGACTGGAAACATAATGGGAGGTGGACTGTGGCCCAGAAGCCACCATTTGTATGTCCTTAAAGTATGGTGGATTAAAGGAGCGGGAGTTGGTGCATCAAGTTTCTTTCTTTCTTTTTTTGGGGGGGCATCTTTTGGCAGGGGTGGCCATTTTTAAATGCGGGCCCTCTGCAACAGAGACCCGTGTGGCCTGGCCTTGGAGAAATGGTGATGAATGTCGCCAGGCCACTGCTGACCGGAGGTGTGCTGAGTAACAGTCTCCAATTAAGGGGGGGACTTCTTAATCACTGCATGGAAGGTGTTAGAAATTTAAGATGTATTTGCATCACACTTGTTTCAAATTAGTCTTCGGATAGTAAGGTAGCTTTCCTGGGAAAGCTTCTAGACTTTTCCAGGTGGATACTTTGAAATCAAATTATATGCATATTAATATTCATATAGCATAATTCTGCATTCAGACGTTTTAGACAAGGCCTCAACAGATGTACCGTTTATTAAAACTGTAAACGCATGACCACCAAAGAGACCCGTTTGCACTTAATTTTCGGCTTTATGTAAATCTGGACTAAGGAGAACAAAGACTTGACCCATCCAAAAAAAAAAAGGGCAGCAAAGCAAGCAGTACCTCCCAGGAAAACCAGCCCTTTGCATGTCGCCTGTACCATGAACCAGGTCTGAACCCAGCAAATTCAGAAATTAGCTCAGATGGCCAAATTACTCAGGAAGTGGAAAACTTCCATGCTAATTAATGCTTGTGTAATTCTTCTGGCGATTTCAACCATTTTTTGAATGCTTTTTGTTAAATTCCTCGCCCCCCCCAGCAATACCTTAGAGGAAAAAATAGGAGGAAAGGCCATCTCCTTAGAATTAACCCCCCCCAACCCCGCCTTAATTTTTTCGGGGGGGGGGGGGGGCGCCAGCGAGGAAAAGACAGCGATCAAGAGAAAAGCCCAAACAAGCAAATGTCACTTTGCCAAGCAACTAACGAGCTCCTTCCCATGGCCTTCACCTGGAAGGAAAGTCGCCCCCCGCCCCCCCGCCCCCAAGGAGCGCGAGGGCCCCCTCCCCCCGAAAGGACAAAAAACAAAACCCCCACGCCATTTCCAGACCCAGAAGCCATTTCCAGACAAATGTCACTCTGCAGCCCTGGCCGACTGCGCGCGCCCCCCCCCTCGCCCAGCGCCCAAGGGGCCCCGGAACGCGCTCCCCGGCTTCTCCCGAAGCCTCGCACGTCTGCCAGGGGAGCGTAAGGTCACCCTGCAAAAATGACGTGTCACTCGGCCTCCCGGGCCCTCGGCGCGCGCTCCATTTTCCTCTCGCCCCTCGCGCCCGGGCCCCGTCGGGCCGGCGCGGCCCGGCCCGGCCCGGCCGCGTCTGCGCCGCGCGCTCCGGCTCCGGCGGCTCCGGCGGCGGCTCCTGCCCCCAGGCCCCGCGTCGCGCCCGGCGCCGCCCGCGCCCCTCCCCCGCGCCGCGCCCCGCGCGCGCCCCCCCCACGGAGGCGGGTCCCCCTCCCGCGCCCGCGCCCCGCTTCCTGTCCCCGAAACCCTCTTTTTGTCGCAGTCGCCCCGGCTCCGGCCCCCCCCGGCGAGCGGCGGGGACGGCGCGGGCAGCCGGCGGGGGGCGCGGCGCCGGGGCCCCCTTCCGGCCTCGCCCCCGGGCCGGCGGGCCGGCGCGGGCGCGGGCGGGCTCGGCGCGGGCCGGCGCCCCCCGGCCGGCCTTACCCAGCAGCAGCAGGCGGTGCGTGGCGCGGTAGACCTGCTTGTCCTTCTGCAGCTGCTTCTCGATCTTCTTGTTGGCCTCGCGCTGCGCCTTCTCCTCGTTGCGCTGGTCCTCGGTCTTGCTGTTCCCCAGGCAGCCCATGGCGGCGGCGGGGCGCGGCCGGGCGGCGGGCGCGGGCCGGGCGGGCCGGAGCGGGCGCGGGCGGGCCGGGCGCGGGCTCGGCGGCTCGGGGAGGAGCGCGCGGGGCCGACTGCGGGGCGCGGGCCGCGGGGCGCGCGGGGCGGGCGGTGCGCTCGGGCCGAGCGGAGCGCGCGGCTCCCCGCCCCTCGAGCCGGAGCCGAGGGGGCCGCTGGCGCCGCCGGGAGAGGCGGACGAGAGCAGGAGCCGCGGGAGCTGCTGCCGCCGCCGCCGCCGCCGCCGCTCTTATTGCCTCGGCCCGGGCCCCGCCGCCGCCCCGACCCAAAAGCGCCGCGGCGGGCGGGGGGAGGCGGGGGGAGGCGGAGGCGGCGGCGGCGGCGAGGGGGGTGGAAGGAGGAGGAGGAGGAGGAGGAGGGATGAGGAGCCGCGGCGGCCGCGGCGCGGGGAGGGCGGCGCGGGCGCGGGCGCGGGGGGCGCCGCCGGGGGCCGCGGGCCAAGGGCGACCCTCGGGCCGCGCCCGGGCCCGCGCCGCCCGGCCCGGGGCGGGGAGCCGCCCCCGGCCCCCCGACCCGGGCCGGGCCGCGGCGGGGGGACAGGGGGCGGCTCCGAGCCAGTGACGACCCCTCGCGCGACGCCAACGCTCCACCCCCCGGGCCGCGCCGCCCGGCGGCCCCCGAGGCCGCGGGCCGTCCCCCCCGCCCCCCACCTCCTCCCGCGGGCGCCGCCGCCGCCGAGGGGCCAGGGTGGGCGGAAGGGGAGGGAGCGCGAGGCCCAGGCCGAGCCCGGACTTAGGAAAATTTTCGAAAAGGAGCGAGCGAGGGAGCGAGCCAGCGCGCGAGCGTGGAAAAAAGCGAGGCGGGCGGGAACCAAGGGACAGAGCAACCGAAAACGGAAAAATGTGTCCAAACACGAACACGCACACACACTCAATGCGAATCCACACGACACGGCGATGGTGGTGGTGGTGTTTGGTGGCGGTGGCGGGGACGGGGCGTGGGGGGGGGCGGCGTCAGATGAGCCGCTCGTCGCGCGCCCGGCGCCGGCCGCCCGAGCCGGGGCCGGGGCCGGAGCCGGAGCCCGAGCCCGAGCCGGAGCCCGAGCCCGGGCAGGCGGCGGCCGGGTCGGGGCGCGCGCGGCCCCGGCGCCGGGCGCGGCCGCCCAAGTAGGAGAAGAAGGCGCAGCCCAGGAACATTCGGAAGCAGCAGGTCGCCCCGCAGACGAAGCCGCAGCCGCGGCCCTGCTCCGTGCGCCTCTGCAGCAGGAAGTTGAGCACCCACGAGGGGCTGCGCACCGAGAACACCAGGAACACCACGAGGGGCAGGTGGGCGCTGAGCGCGCCGGCCTTCCGCGGCCCGGGCCGCCACACGACGCCCCCCACGCGCGGCGCGTTGTAGTAGGCGTCGTCCTCGTCGCCCGAGTCCGTGTCCCACTCGGCCCAGGCCCTACTCGTGCCCCCGGCGGCGCCCTCCGCGCCGGTGGTGCCCGCGGTGCCCGCGTCGGCGTCGCGGGTGTCGGCGTCGGCGTCGGGGCCCTCGGGCCCGGGGGCCGCGCGCGCCCGCCTCGCCTTCCTCTGCGCCTTCTCCAACTTCTTCCTCTCCTTCTCGCGCCTCTTCTCCTCCTTGCGGCGCTGCTCCAGCAGCTTCTTCTCCATCTTCCTGCGCTCCTTGTGGGTCAGGAACGGCTCGGGGGGCGCTGCCCGCGCCGGCGGCTCGGGGGTCCGCTCGGGCTCCGCGCTCGTCTCGGCCAGCGCCGCGGCCGCCTCGGCCGCCACCCCGGCCGCCGCGGCCGCAGCCTTCCGCTCGCTCTCGGCCGCCGCTCGCGCGCGGATCTTCAGGGCCATCTTCAGCATGGTGGCTCCGGCCCCGCGGGGTGTCCCGCCGGTCCCCGGCCTCGGGCTGGCCGGCCCCGGCGCGCCCCGTGCCGGGGCCACGGTCGGCGGCGCCGTGGCGGGGCCGCGGGGTGCGCGCGGCCGGCTGCCTAGCAGTTAGCGCCCAACGGGACGAGCCGACGAGCGGGGGGCGAGCACACACCCCGAGAGCCCGGCGAGCACGAGTAGCCCAAAAAGCACGGCGAGGGGGGACCCGACTCCGCGAGGGACGGTGCCCGGGGCCGGCAGCGCGCGGGGTCCCGCTCCGGTGCCCCTCCGGCCGCTCCGGGCTGCGGCGCCGGGACGCGCCGCAGACGGGAGGAGGCGAGCGAAAATAATGCGCGAGGATCGGGGTGCCCGGCCGCCCGGCGCCGCGGGGTCCGCAGCCGGCGGGGGTCCCGCGGCGGCACTTACACGGGAGCGAGCGGCGCTCACGGGCGCGGGCCGGGCGGCCGCTCGGCAACCCGGGCCGGGAGCCGCGAGCCGCGAGCCAGCGCCGGGCCAGCCACCTGCCGCAGCCCGCTCCGCGGTGCCGACGCGACTGAGTGTCCCCGCCGGAGTCGGGCGCTCCTAAGCCGCCGATGACGCCCCAGCCTCTTCAGAGGACGGACCCACCGCGGTTGCCCCTATAAAGCGAAGGGGAAGCCGAAAAGTCGGGCCGGCGCGCACGCACCTTCAGGGGCCGCCGCGCCCCCCTGCGGCGTGGCGGGCACGTCGGGGGCGGCGCCCGGGTGGGCCGGGGGCGCGGGGGGCCCGGCGGCGGGGGGCGGCGGGGCGCCCTCGCCAGGGGGGCGCTCGACCCCGCCTCCCAGACCTGCCTCCCGATTTCCAGCGAGTGGTGTAGCCCTGGGCGGCGTGCAAAGTGTGCGACGTCGGCGGCGGCGGCGGCGCCCGTGCGCGCCTCTTACCTCCCGCTCCCCGGCCCGCGCCGCGCCGCGCCGCCGCCCGCCCTCCCCGGCGCGCGCCCCCGGCCGACGCGGGCCCGGGCGCGGGGGGCGCGGTGGCGGCGGCGGCGCGGTGTCCTGCGCGGTGGGGTCCCGGGCGTCCGGGGCGTCACGGTGGGCTCTGCAAGCGAAGGAGAAGTAGTTTAGCGCACACGAGTTTGTTGGAGGGAGGTTTGAAGGCTCGAGCGCGCACCGCGGGCGGGGCCGTGCGGAGAGCACGCGGCGCGGCGGAGCGTCCGCTGGGGGGCCAGTGCGTTCATTCATTCATTCATTCAATAGAGGTCGGGGGTCCCGGGGGCGAGGTCAGGCGGGCCTGCGGCCTCCGGGTTGGCGGAGACCGCAGGGGGCTCCGCGGACAAAGTTGCTTGGAAAACTCTCTTGAACTTCCAAAGAGTAAAGCTGGAGTTCTGTTCGGAAGGGGAAAGAAACGGGCAGGGGCGGGGGTGGCACCTGTGGGCCCCCAGGTCGCCCCAGAAACCCGCCGAAAGTTCTGGTTCCGGCCGCGTCCGCACTCACAGCTACCTCCCTCCAACGGAGAAGTTTCCCGAGTTCCCGGCCCCTCACTTGGGGACCCTCTGCCCGCTTCTGCAGTAAGGTTCTTTTGTTCAATGCAGCGGAGAGGATAAGGAGCAGAGTTAGGAAGCACGCGGGGGATTACAGAGGGGCAGCGAAATCGGGGACCCCACCCCAAAACTGACAGCTGCCGCTGCGCGGACTGCCAAGGCCCTCACTTGCTCCGGCTCCCAGGCCGAGTTCCCTCTCGGCCGCCAGAGCCAGCCTGGTCTTGGTTTCATTTTAGCACAGGGCCTCTCTTCCGCAGAAGACGACATCTTTTGGGGGGAAATGCTCAAAGGACTAACTACTGTTGCAGGTTGACACCTTCCAGCACCACAGAAGCTGAGAAAATAGTGAAGCCAAGGAACTCTGCACCCTGTCAACGGGCCCCGGCGGCCACAGACCCCTACCCAGGCGGGGGCTACGTCTCTGATCTCCACACCCTCAATAAAGGCTTCTTGGTTGAACTGGATCCCCCCACTGTCATTTCTCAACGCCAGGGACGAGTCGGGAGGAGGGCTAGGCCAGAACTTCGGGTCATGCTCCAGTTGTTCCCTGGCCCTACGTGGCAATGCACAAGCACTTTGTATTTAAGGTACGAGGTAAACAGTAACTCACAGCCTCAAGACTTACAGGCCACTGGCCACACATCGCTGCCCTGACCAAGTGTCCTTCTGCAGAGTCCCTGCCTGGTGACTGGGCACACCTGAACGCAGGAAGCAGTGGGGCCCCGACCTGGGCGAGCCAGGCACACCCAGAAACTATCCTAGCGGGGCCACTGTCCTAGAAACAGAATCCAAGGCCCAAGTCACTCCCGTCCCCCATCACGCAGGCCAGCCTGGCGTGCTGGTCGTTGTCACGTGCTGTTCTACTGCCTGTTTTCCCCGTATTTCCATCCCGACTCGCTCCTGGTGGCCAGAGCAAGCGTTCGCTCTGCCGGTGGCAGGCGGCAGGTGAGGGGAAGGGCCCAGGGAGGCCTGAGGCTCGAGGCCTCCCTCACGGTCCCATCTGCTCTCCGTTTTCACCCCACACAAACTGAAAGTCGAGCTTGGGCCTAGGTGCTCTGAGTCCAGCTAGTTTTGACCTCCCTGGGCCTTGCGAAGTCTTTAAAAACAAATAAATACAAATAAAAAGTTGGTCCAACTGGAGTCCACATGGGGTGCCTGCACTTCCCATCCCAGGGAGAGACGCACTTTCATACTGGGGCACCTGGTCTAGGGCTGGATGGATGAGCAACCATCACCGTGATTCTTGGGACAGTCCAGACAAGAGTTTGCCAACGAAAGGAACCTCTCGTCTGACTCCAAGATGCAGCCTCGGAGGCAGCCCCAGGCCAGAATCTGGGCTATCAGACCCTTCACCTCAGACACAGGCTGAACCGACACTACGATTCGAGATGTCTGACAGACACTCCACAAGGCTCCCAGCCGCCGCTGCACCCTCTAGAGCACCCAAGCCAGAGGGTGAAGCCATGGTCTTTTACGGCTCCTAGCTAGGAGGGGCTGGGGACCACCCTTGTTTTTTTTTTTTTTCTGCCTTCCTTGAGTATGGCCTGTCTGCCTCGCCTAGCAATAGGCTCGCTGACAGCTTCGAGTCTTGAAAATATTGTCACACTTGGTGATGTAATTCAGTTTGGGGCCAAACATGTTTTTGGCCTTTCATTAGTCGAGGTTATTGTAAGAGTCCAGGGAAAACATAATTATGGTATTATTTTAATAGCCTAGGAAAAAATAAAGAGGTTTCCACAAAAATAGAAACCTCAGCTGCAGTTTTAATAATAGTCTGTGAGTACTCCTTCAGGGCTGTCTCCCCGGCTCCGGCCACTGTCAGAGACCAGGGGACAGGCCCCGCCACTGCCAACGGGGGCCACTGGTGGCCGAGACCTCACACACATGAAGCACGTGGCGAGAATGCCTTTTCCTTTCTGCCCCCAATTCGTCTGCGACTAGAAGGTTCTATGAGCTGGGACCCCCACGTTTTTAAACCTGCTAAAAAGTGACCACCTGGGGCATTTTAACTTTCTTGCCAGACTCCCAAGTTAGTAACTTGAACCACCAAACACTCTTCAAATGCACTCAAAGCTAGGCCTGGTGTTGG